CGCCGACGGCGACGGCAACGGCAACGGCAACGGCAAACGGCAAACAAACGGGCGGCGGCGGCGGCGGCGGCGGCGGTGGCGGTGGCGTGGCGAGTGGGCGGTGGCGGTGGCGGTGCGGTGCGGCGCGGTTTTGGTGGCGGTAGTGGCGACTGCTCTGCAGGGGCGGTGGCGGCGGCGGACGGGTGTGGGCGGCGTAGGCGGCGGCGGTGGCGGCGGCGGAGGCGGAGGCGGCGCGGGCTCTGCCGGCCACTCGCTTAGGCACGCAAGGCCATCGGGCGCGTTTCAGGGAGGGGACACTTCTTTTCCAGTTCGCTCGGCTTCGGAATGATTGGGAGAGACATTCCGCGAATTTCCGGCGGGAAAACTCTTATTATAGGGCCTGGTAACAAACAAGTGGGTAAATCCAGTAGCTACATTTAAAAAAAATCCTCTATCTCGTGATGTGACCAGAATCAATGTTTGTGGGTCCTTAATGCCGAAAAATCCAATGACTGCTAAAGCCCGCTTGTCCGTTCATCTGTCTGTGTCTGACCATGTATGGACAACGCTAGCTGCTAAACTAGCGTTTGCCAACTTGTGGAGAAATGACGTTGAATACGGTTTCCTCTGGCATGCGCCCTCTCCGAGTAGCGAATGGCTGATGTTTCAGGGTACAAGTGTGGGAGACCATCTACACCCGTTAAATTTCTTTCTATTTGGGAAGAAAGGTTTGCTTTTGTAGATACCGTAACAATGGCGGAGTGGTACCACTAGAATCACTGGTTTTAAAATTTGCAACGCCTTTTCGTAACACGTCTTCTACCCGTTCTTGGGCATTGAACGTATAATTTGGATTTATTGATTGATTAGTGATTATAGGCGCGTCATCTGCGAAGACCATTAGTTCCGTAAGTGTAGCACTTGCTTTTTCATATCGCGGAAGGTGACATTGATCTTCCGGATGGCCAGAACCGGCGCCGACCTACCCGTCGGCTTGCGGAAATTTTCCCAAGAACGTATCTCTCACCAGCTTGACACCACGTCAGTTGGGACAGTTTCCAAACTCCCGACTGATGTCTCGGCATTTGTGGAAGTATAGTGTAAGCGTATTTAAGTGGTGCGGATAGGACAAAGAAGAGGAAGGTCCGTGGCCCATTTATTAGTATACTGATTCGACATTCGCCTCGTGTTGATCGGAGTAACCACGAAATCATGCCGATCAGTGCAGCTGGGCGTAAGAATTCTCCTCCAGGCAGCGGTTGAAATCGACTTAGCTAACTAGCTAGTGACGAAAAGTTCTACCAACGTGGTACTCGAACCCTAGAACGACGCGATAAGTGGCTTCATTTGATGCTATAAGACGCCTAAACCGGTGGCATAATTCGGAGTAATCGTCCGTTCCATTTTCATTGTTTGCTTCGTTACGTTGCAGTCTGTCAGACCCTTTATCTCTTCGGGCTAGGGCTCGGTACCGTTAATAACCAGATTCCTAAACGGTCCCCTGTTCACGAATCCCTGGTGTCTCGAACTGGGTAACTTCCATAACTTCACGGGCGTTTATAAGCAGTTCGGCTAACGATGTTCTCGTGAAAGCTGATTCAATGAAAGCATTTCCTATTTGTGAATAAACATGCGTATTCCTAAACATCATATTTGATGAGTTTTGTTGGAAGACGGGGAGTACATATACAGGTCTACCACCAACTGCAGGCCATCTCATAACATCTAAACCGTTCACGATATCGAAATATATCTTCCCACAACAATGAAGAATCTTGAAAAATTATTATGATGTAGAGATTGGTTGAAGTATTTTTAGTTTCAGAGAAATTTAGTTGTCTTCGATTTTTTAAAATAAAATTATACATTTTTCTTACTAGCAATGGATAGATCTTAAAAATAGAATTACAATGATGTATCATTTATTAAAGATTTGATAGTACTTTGCCTCTAAAAATATAATTTTTGACATGCTATTTAAAGTAAACGGAGAATATTTTCTAAAGCAGCCCTTTGCAACTATTGCCACTGAGAAAGGTGGCCTTCGCGACGTCGAGACTGTTACAAGGAGAGGGGAGATTGACAGGAATGGTAAAGAGGGGTACAGGAGTAACTACAGGATTCTATGGTCTTGTCACGTCGAACACAGGAAGAAACAACAATATTAAGGATCAGAATGATTTTTTTTATAGATTCATCAGACTCATTAACTTTTCTTCTAGACGTTGAAATTCCAAAGCAAATGTGCATTGCTGTCGATGGGAGACGAACAGCAGACAAGCGAGGAAACTTTCTTTCACTCGTTAGCACAACGCATGAGAAAAGGCGAATAATAATTGCAAACCATAATTTGTAGACTATTCATTATCTAAAGAGTTTAAAATGGAACATTCTTTGTAAATTTCTTATGACACCTGTAGAATGCAAAGAAAAAAAGTTCGCCAAATTTAAATTGCAAGATCTGTTGTGTATATTGAAAGACATTACGGAAACACACAACCATGTCGTATATAATACAAAGGTTGGGACAGAAGTCATGTAAACTATTTTTTCCCTAAAATAAAAGTTAACGGATCACACAATTTTATTTGTCGCGTGAAATAATTTATTTTCTCACGTGTGTTCACAACAACAGATGGCTATGTGAGTGTGTCTATTACCACTGAGCAATGTGAAATCAGTTGCCTGACGGCTACTGTGCCATATGAATTTAATCCGTTTCGAGCAGTGATCAGCTTTGTGTACGTAAAAGCCGTTCCCCATGGAAGATGTATCCGAGAATGTCTTAGGAAGCTGGTGAAAGCTGTTGGGAATAATGCCCTTCCATACGGGACAGTCGCACGATGGACAGGAGGGTTTCTCTGAGGTCTCATAGCAATCAATGATCAACAACGCACGTGACGCACTGTGAGTGTGAGGACCGATGTGGCACATGCGGTAATCGAGCATCTGCCTAATCGAGTATTTATCCGTAGAACAGTTATGTAATGCGTAGTATTATGGTAGAACGTATATGAGAGAACGGGTATGTGACTAGAATATGCTATAATGCTTTGGAAAATGAAACCAGTACTGGTATTTGAAATACCTTAATAAATATGAGCAACACCGATTTATATATCACATTTTCCACCCGTACTCATATTCTCACAAAAAATAGTGGCCATAACTTATGCTCCAACCCACATAAAAGATTTCTATCATGAGAGAAACTTACCTTTCATCACGCCCCATGGCTCTTCCTTCAAAACCAGAATGACAGTTCGTCCCCTACGGCACCAAGCACGCCACCAAGTCCCAGCGAAGCGCCGCTGACCAGCTGTTGACTGCCACCTCTGGCCTCATGGAGCGACCTCGTAATCTATACTGAAGTTGCGCACTTCAGTCGAATCGAGATATCGATACATTTTGTTGTGGCTAAAGCTGGCTTGCATCGTTGGTCGTATCGATATTGTAGTACGTAATAGTAAAAACAACGCTTTTATTCTATGGTGATTTTTTATTCTCATTTGTAATTGTTAGTTGAATTCACCAACTTAAAGAGTGATAAATATTGCAACTAATATAGTTTTTCTCCTTGCATTTAACTCATTAAAAACTTTTTTCTATTAAGAACAAAAATCAAGAAACCGAAAGTAAATATTTCTGAAGGGATAAAAGTTATAAATAGCTACTCGGCGGTGGTAAGAGTTTTGGAAAGAATGATCGTTACGCATACAAATAACTGCTAAATATTTCTCCTTGTCTCCTCCACTTCATGAACAAATTTATACACATTAAAAAATTGAATTACAATGTTTGTCTGAAAATCACAATGTGTGTTAAATAGAAATGCACGTTGTTAAAAAAACAGGTGAAAATGATTACAGCGTTTTGTGTTATACAACAAATGCAAAACCGATTCAACGATTTCTTTAAGTAGATAAAATAAACGTTTATACATGCTAAATAAATTGGAATATCCTGAGATTGCGGTATATTAGAAGCATTTTTATATACAAAAAGGGTATTTATTTCAGCTGTTTAAACCGGATGAGTTTAGGTCACAGCTGCCCTTGCTGCTATCTCTGTAGCGACTCAGACTGGAAATTCCTAAAATTCGAGTGCCGACGGAGACGGACTTTCGACACTAGGTACTAGCTAGTTAAGTCGAATTCATCCAGTGCCAGGAGAAGAATTCTATTATCCGGGTTGCTATGATCAGTATTTTTTCATAGTTTCTCCTATCAGTACCAGGCAAATGCCGGAGCAGTACTCTAAGGAACGGGCCACGAACCGGCGCGATCTTTCCTTCCTCTTGTCCTATCATCTCCCCTTACAAACACAAACACACTTTCACACACTACACTACCACACCAGTCTGGAGCATAGAACTTGTGCCCTGTTGGAGATACCCGGAGAGGGAATTCCCCCGTCAGCTGACCTGTAGATCGGAGAGAAATATCGCAATACAGCGGTACACTAACGGGAGTAACGACCATAGCAGTTCACGTGCCCGGAAAGGTCAATCAATCCCGCATCAATTCAGTTATTAATGTTTGCATTTACTCGAAATATTTACAAAAAATCCATATTCTAGAATACAGAAAGGCAGAAGAATATTTTGACCGTGCAGCGTTATGCTCGAAAATCGCCGATAGCAAACGGCGATAAAGACTTGTTAGCACAACCTTGGTGAGCGGAGACGTAGTGGCGATCAATGACAAGCGACAGAAATGTGTATCTTTACTGTGCTTGGTTCATTTCCTTGGCACTCCTTCCGTTGCGATCACTAGTAATTTCTTCCTCTTGTAGACCCTATGACAGCTTGAGGCTTCGTACGTCAGAACCCTGAGTTCTGGGCTCATAGGAAAACAAAAATCTAAAATATTTCGTAATTATACTGATTCTGAAAATGCAATTATTTTGACAGTCAATGGGCAAAACGGTGTCCTGTTCACGATACAGAAAGAAAACTTTTTGTACGGACCCTTTTTTCCTCATTTTCTAATCATTATGTATTGTATTAAAACATGAGTGTTGACAACTTTAAAAAATATTTAATTAAATTTGAAAATTATTTACATTTAATTTTATCAGTACACCACATATTTAAAAATCTGTAATAAATAATTCGTTTTCTTCAACACTTCATCTACTTTGGTGTCTTTATCCGTCCGTTCGTGTCACTTCACAAAACTATTCAGCGATTTCTCACAAGTCAATTAATAGTTCTTCAATGTACACACAATGTGTCTCATCAGTACAATTTAACACATTATCCAAATTAGTGTCTTCTATCTTCATAAAAACTTGACTGTTATGGATCTGCAAGAAAAAGAGAATAATATGATACAATGCTTTTACGTTATAAGACAATTAGGTTGTGAAGTATTGCAGTTTCAGAAACAACAATAAATAATACTCATTGGGATGTAAAATACAAATTGTTTGAAGTTTTTGAAGGTTATTTGACGGAAATATATGTCATAATTACATTTCTTAACACAAAATACCGACAGTTGAGAACCGAAATGAAAGGTTATTGAAAGTTTGATTTGAATGTATATCTTCTTAAAACATCTCCACAATTTTCGCAATTAAAAAAGTTCTTACTGTCAGTAAATAATGCATAAAATAATGACTGATAAAATAGCTGCGGTTGGGTTAGTGCAAATTTGCCCATTTTGCGTGTTAACTGCTAATATTCGAAGAAAGCAAACCATCTGAAAACGAATTAAAAGGCGAGTCCTGTTTAACCACAGAGAGACGGCCATTTATTTATGCCGCCTCGAGGTTTTAGTCTTGCTGCGTTGTGCTCTTCAACCGTATTAATTAGTACCGACGGGCACTGCGTCCTAGCACTGTGTCGCCGGGCTTTCTGTGCTCTCCGAAAGACCGCAAGCTCATTTCCCTTAATTGGATATTCTTTTACTTAAGAACGCCGGAGAGCGTTTTGTAACGAGTTTACAGCTTAGAGCGGCCAGCCGGGGGCAGGATAAGCACAGAACACAGCACTGGCGGAAAGCTTTGATTTCGCTTAATAGGGGTCGCGGCTGTGAACAGAGAAGGAATCGGATGGGAGAGATATCGACATTAGAATGAATGAAGGTTAAATTAACAAAGGGAAGGATAGAGTACAGTGAGACCGCTATTATCGAGAATGAAACAATACGAAAGGAAAACCAAGAAACAAGGGTCGGCTTGAGAGTTAATAATTTTTTTCAGGGTTGTAACGTCCTCATGTAGTTCAGATTCATCTGCACGAAAGTAATTTTTAGCTCCAGAACACACATTTTGTTTCAACCAAATATGACGTTATTGAGAGTGAAAATTACATTGAGAGTGAGTTACATTGTTTTGAAAATATTTTTCTTATTTTTCGTCTTGTTTATTTTTTTTCATATTTCATATTCTCTGACAAAACTTTTTAATATTCGAAGGAAGAGTAATTTTGAAGGAACCTTTTAACTGAGAAGCTTAAGGAACATATTTCTTATGGTACAGCCATATGACCCCGAACCCATTAATTTTTTAGTTTTATTTAATGCTCTTTTACTAACTTTTATTTTATATTTAAATATTCGGTGCTTCTTTCTTGTTGATAAACATAAGAACATTAAACGTTGAGAAATTTTGACAACCAGATTCAAGTGTAGGAACCGCCATCAACTTCTAAAATTTCATTTGTGTGTCCTTTCTTACTTTGTTCTTAAGGTTTCTTTGGATTGTTTCACATATAGCGAAAAATTTATTGAGTTTTTCTCTGGATGTCATTCTTCTCGCAATAAGAGATGTTACGTCCTAGGTAGATAAATTCTGACACTTGTCCTAGTATGGTGTTTTCTACAACTATTTTGCACCTCAAATGATGTTTGCCCACAAAATCCATTACTTTACATTTCTGAGTAGATATCCCCAACTCGTAGTTATCAAACTGAGACTCTGAAAGTCTCTTAAGCGCTCGGGTAAGAAATGAGGACCGATGATAAATTCATTTACTATTCCAGCTGACACATTTACAAAAAAATCGCTCTTAAAGAGCTAAACTATGCCCAACATGCAGCTTTCCTCGGCGCACACATTCAAATTGTACACATTAATTGTGCTTTTTTTGTAAAACACTCTTAATCTGACTAAAGAACGAAATTCCCTGTTTTCTTTGCATTCGCGCACGAAATGCCTGGATGGAATTGAAAACTACGTTATAAGTGTCTACTGCGCAAATACTGCACCTGCTGAAAATGGAAAAGTAATCTCGCCGCATGAATTCTTCGTCAGACGAGGGACTGATTCGTTGACCTCGCGCGCTATTTACCTTGTGTTCGCTTCCAGGGCTTCTCGAGATAGTGTTAGCAATTGCGTTTCCGAGGGAAGTGGCGAGCTATGGCACAAAATGAAGCTGCTTTCTAACTTGCCATAGCCTGTGTAGCACGAGCACAACCGCATAGTTCAAAATTTAACGTTAATTAAGTACAAAACTAAACGACGAATTGTATCAAAGTTTGGTAAATTGAATCTACATTACGTATGGGATAAGGTCCCGGCATATTAGCAACTACGACTGAATCATCCTGTATAGGCTTCTCGAGAGTTAGCAATTGCGTTTTCCAGGGAAGTAGCGAGCTCTGGCTCGAAATGAAGCCGCTTGCTCACTTGCCGTAGCTCGTGTTATACGAACACAACTGCATAGTTCAAAAGTTAACGTTAATTATTTACAAAACTAAACGACGAATAGTATTGTTTGGTAAATTTAGTCTGTTCATTACGCATAGGATAAGGTCTCAGCATATTAGCAACTACGACTATATCACCTGTATAGGAAACAAAGAAAATATGGAGTGTCCATGTACGAGTATTATCTCGTATAGCACTCTGGTTAATCTAAGTTTTCTCACTGTGAAACTATCACGAACATTGAAGGAAATTTTACCAGGTATAAAGATCCAATCTTGTTTTTGTTCGATATTACGACGACACGCTTATTGTAATCAAAAGACAGGATGTGCACAAGGTCTTAGATATATTTAATACCTAGTCATTACTCACAAGAATTACATCAATATTATTTAAACCCAACATTGTATATGGGATAAAGTGTAAACAATGATGCAATGTTGATATCAGTCAGTCATATCGTCAATTAAAACAAGGGGTTAATGAATATAAAATCAACATAGAACGCCAGATTTTAACTTATTTCATTATCGAGACATAGGCTAGACACAATCTTCAGAGAGATTTTGAAAACCCACAAACACTACATCAAGAAAACAGGTACTACGCAAGAGTTTTACTTGAGATATTACATATTAGGACCGAAAAAACACCATTATTGAAATGTCTACTTTTACTAAATGATATAATGTTTTGGTAAATTTCAAATAATTATTCCTTTTCTTACGTTTTTGCCAGTACATTGTACTTTCTCCCGATAGATTTCACGTGTCCTATCATTGTCCCTGTTCCGGCTTCATAACACCATCTCTGTCGTGGACGGCTAATGTCCCTTCTTCCCCTTGGTCTGTATAGAAAGTCATGTCGGGGGATCCTTTCGTGAGACACACTTCGTAAGTGCTGCACCCCACGTGATCCGTGATCTGTATTCAGTTATTTTTTCATTGATAGAAAATATGTGAAGTTACTGTTTTATATCTTCATTTTTTATTTTATCGATTAGGGTGCAGCGTTTTTCTCTCCGGAGAGAGTAATTCAGAGACATATCTTCATTTTATCTTATTGTCCATTATTCACACTCGTAAAGCAGTTGTGGTACTGCCATGGCTTTTCAAAATTTTAAAGCCTGACGTCTCTAGTTTTATTGTGAAGGAATTTGTTTATTGTTGCAAGTATGGTAATTTTGTTTTGATATCACTGTAGTCGTATGTGATATCACAGACCAAATAACTAAAATGTTGTACATTCTCTATTACTATGTCTTCTATTATTATTTTAGTTCTGATAAGATATTTCCTCTGAGTACCATCACTTTAGGTTTAGAGAAAGATATTCAGAGACAATACGGTTTACATATTCTATTTAGCTGGTACAAGGACTTTTGCACACTTGTTTTGCTATCTTCTATAATTATATGGTCATCCTCATACAGAAGTGATTGTAGAGGTGTAAGTGGATTTATCCTAATATTTGGTTTACTTGAAATTTTCCGTTACCTTAGAATGATATCAAAATATATTAAACAAAGCTGGGACATGCTGTACCCTTATCATACACCTTTGTTTATTTCTTACTCTTCTAGCATTTTGTTCCCAACTTGAAAATTAATACTTGTTTTGTGGTAGAGGGATTTAATAACTTCTGTCAAGTGGAAAGGGTAGCCCCTTTTTCGAAGAATCTGACAGAGAAGTTCACGATTAACTCTATCAAACGCTTTCTCATAATCTATAAAAGCTATGTTTCTAAATTGAACTCTCGTCCCTTTTTAATTATTTGGTATATGGTTAACACATTATACATTCTCTCTCTTGCCTGAATCCACTTTGCCCTTCCAATAACAGTGTATCTGGGATTGTAATGAGCCATTTATTTATTATTATTGTGTACAATTTATAAGCGTTGATCAACAGGCTTATACCTCTGTAATTCTGTGGCTTGCTTCTATTTCCTTTCTTAAAAAGATATATTCCTTTTTCTTTCTTGCATGCATCAGGTATTTGGCTTTTTCTCCCACAATTATTAAGTAGTTGAAGAAGTCTGTTCTTCAGTTCTTCACCTCCGTATTTGAGCCGTTCTGCATTGATGCCATCTACCCCAGAAGCTATTCTATTTTTCATGCTTACACTACCTATTCCATTTCATGTTTGCTCAAAGGGTCTATCTGAGAGTAGTTGTATTGTGACTTATCTTACAGCGATCACTGTTGAGTCATATAAGAAATTTTAAAATACTTTATCCAGTCATCTTTCTTTATTACATTAGTTCCGTTCGGTCATTTTCCTCTGATTTTAAATGTTTCGTGATATTGAAAGCCTGAGTCTGTCCATCTTTTCTTTGTCTATGATTACTTCTTTTACCAATAACTTATGCTGCAATGTTTATAATATTTTCAATATCACTCCATTCTGCGTTAATGTCATCTTCTATAGGTATATTTGCGTTTAATTGTTTCAAATATATTTGATAGATATTTCTTATACTTTCTTGCCTTAAGATAAGGACTTTGTATATATCTCTGCTCATAGATTTACAATTTTTATGCTGTTTTGTCATAATTATCTTCCATCGGACTGTAATTGAGATATTTGTGACTACTAAGTTGTGATCGGATGATATACCATTGCCTCTCATGAATATTTCTTATTTGAGGTGCTAATTTTCTGTTCGCTATAACACAATATATTAGCAATCTTGTGGAGCAATTGTTTAAGGTAAATTTATTTTTATATTTTTCCTGAAGAAGGTATTCATTCCTTGACGTCGTTAATAGTAGCATATTCTCTAAGTTCTCGTCCATTGGTTTCTTTTCCAAAGGACCCAAGAACATTTGGAATTATCTGTTTTCCTACTCCTTTTTTCAACAAATGCACCCCCATTTTTTCTCCCCACCTTTCTCCTCCACCGTTTTTCTCTTGGCTCCATGCCTTTCCTTATCTCTCCTTAAGGCAGTTTGCACCTTCCCTTTAGTCTCCTATTTGCTTTCGTACGGTGAATTTAACACGACGACCTCTCAAGCTACAAGGTATGTTCAAGTCATCGCTGTTCACACCTAGTACTTGCATTATATTTGCATTACCATGATGTTATCTAACAAAATTTGAATTTTCAATACAATTTGTAAATATTATATTATATTATAGATAGATAGATAGATAGATAGATAGATAGATAGATAGATAGATAGATAGATAGATAAATTTCGATTGTAATATTATTGATTTAGATCTACTCCAGTGCCACAATTATAATACAATGACAATTTCACTTCATTGTGACCAGATTCCTGAACTTCTGTGACATGTGTGAGCCTCAGTTTTTATTGATCATTGGTCAATAATGGTCATTGTTAAAACATTTCATAGCCTTTAATGTTTATATTTCTCTCTTCCAATTTTCTCTAAATATTTGTGGGTTTTCTTTAAGGTCTGAAGATGGAGGAAAATATTGACACCTCCGAAACATTTTAACGATAATTTAATGTTATTTTAAATTTGTAAAGTTATTTTCAAATTTCATAAAAAGGAGATTGCCGAAAAACAATATTGGAGCTTTTCATCTAGTGAAGAATCCTTCAATGTAAAACGACAATCTGAACATCTACGTGATGTATGAAATATATCACGAACATTGCCAAGGATGGTAACAACAAGAATGACTCGAAAGTTCTGCATTGGCGCGCGTATCTAACCTGAAAAGGAATTGACGAAATAATACTTACCGTCGGTTTTCCCACGACCTCACTGTATGAGTCAGGTACGATAATAGCTGAATTTGCATGCCTGAATTGGCCAAGAAAGTCGCCTTCCTTTTTTAACTTCATGATTTAAATTTGAACTAATGAGCTGTGATTATTATCAGAAATCCTTATCTCATCAATTGTCACCAAATCATACATTATAATTTACGAATGTTACCTCATTTCACGTGAATTTAAGTCAAATAATGCGGCGGCGATGGTGTAATGGTTAGCGTACTGGACTGTTGTACCCAAGTTGGCGGGTTCAAACCCGATCGAAGCCGTGGATTTTTAAGGGCGAAAAAATCCTTCGTACGCCTTCCTTCGGAGGGGAAGTAAAGCCGGCTGTCCCATGTTCGTAGATTTACTTGCATGTAAAAGATCCTCAAGCCTAAATGACGCCTCTGAGCTAAATTCAAATCGCCTGTTTCTCGCCCAAGGAATACCTCCTTTCTCTTAGTCGGTGAAAGGAGCGTAGCGAAATTTGCGTGGTCAGACGGAAGAGCGGGCCTGATGGCCCGAGTCTCGCCACGTAAAATAAGGCAAATTCAATTCAATTCAATTCAAATAATCAAAGGACTTTCATTAACACAGGGACTTTCCTGTATCAAGTGCGACATTTATTTCGAGTTATTTCATCAAAGAGAGAAAAATAGACCTAATACGTATGCAATAACCAATTCTGTATTCTATCATCAATGCAAAAAATAATAAAATGTAGATGTTTTTCTGAATTATTCTTCAGATTCTTTCTTGTAAAATCAACGCGGATAGTTTTCTTACTGATAAAAGAGCACATGTGCGAGGAAAACAGGACGTATGGTCACCCGAAGTGCACAGCAAGAGCACTCACCGGCGCGTGGCGCGGCGTCCGAGCGCGTTGGCGGCCTGGCAGCGGTAGACGGCGCGGTGCACGTCGGGCCGGAAATCGGCGGCGCCGAAGGCCGGGAAGAGCAGCGAGCCGTTGGGCGCGAGCTGGCGCAGGCCCGGCACGGCGCCGGCCGCCGCGCCGTCCGCCAGCAGCCACTTGAGCTGCGGCTGCGGGCTGCCGCGCGCCACGCAGTCCAGGCGGCCGCCGGTGGAGTTTGCGAACTCGAGGCGCGGCGCGGGCTCCACCTCCAGCAGCGGACACGCCCGCGCAGGCAGTTCGAGCTGAAATGAACGACCCACTGACAAGTCGAAAGGACACACACTGGATGCAGACACAGGCACTTTAATATACCTCATATACACTCCTTGAGACACTTGCAGTTAAAATAATCGATCACAAGACCGCTTTACGATCGATAGAAAGGTGGGCACGGATCTAAGAGCAATTTAGCAGAGTTTACAAGTATAAATCCCAACCGGGTCCACGACCGAGGGATGGTAAAGGCCCATTCACAATGCAAACTTAAACATACGCATGGCGTTAACATAAATGTTAGGACTACGTCCATAAGCGGACACATTCACAATTCGTTCGCATACGAATAACACGTATAAGACGTTAGCTTAAAAGCTTGCAAACTTCAAGCTGCTGTGCTTACGCTTAAGTACGACATACGAGCCCATTACATACGTTAACTCAAAATCGAGAATCGAAATAGGTGCGAAGTCGATAGACGAACTAAAGTCATATGGGCCATGGACGCAGTTGATACTTCGAAATCGATTCTCACATCAACCAATAGTAAACTAGAATGTCTCATAGCCAATAGAAACGTAGTTGCTTACGTTTATGTTAGACATTGTGAAAACTCCAGTCTATCACTTATGTTGATTTTTACGTCTATGCGTTATGTTCATGTTTGCATTCTGAATGGGCTTTAGCGGGCCAAGGGTTCACCCCTTCCCCCCACTCGGCTCGGCCGAGTGGGGTTGTCTAGCTTGTCCCCTGTATAGAGACGTCCGCCCTTTGCAGGCTGTGAGGCGTTCTCTCGTGGGGTAACAGAGTACTAGATAGTAACATAGTATTGGGAGTCAGCGAAAACGGCGGCGCACAGCCATCTGAAACTGGCGGGCGCCCCCTCACCCCCTAATTAGTTCCTGGTCACCTGCCATACTCACCTCCAGGCCAAGGCGTTCTTTGACGCTTTGCTGACTCCACGTGTGGCGTCTGCCGGGGCAATAAACCACAGACGTGAACGGTTTGTAATTTATTAAATATTTATCTGAAATATGCTCCAACACCTGAATACTATTTACAATAATTACAATAAACAATATTGACCCGATACCAGAAGGAATGTTCCTGGTCACCACCACCGCTGGCCTGATAATTTGATATCTTGTTCGGTGTGATGCCCCAGTTGCCCTACGTGAGCATACAAGCGAGTATGCCGCACCTCCCGTCTCGACGTAGCACGCCGGCTTCAGTGCCCTGCCTCAGTAGCCTATGCTTTGAAATGCAGCGCCGCGCACAACCCACACGACTTCCTACCGACGCGCTCAAGAATCAGAAGGAATTTAGGTCCGGGATCCGCTTATATTACTTTGTGGCCCGGCTGACGAACCGGCTGCGTCATCTCGCTGTTTCCGCCGACGCGTTTCCACAGCCAGTCTGTCTACGGGGTTCACAAGTTTGCCCCAAGTGGTCTACGGGGTTCACAAATGGCCACCCACGACACGGCACTCCTTCCCTTCCGCTCTCTAGGGTTACCATTGTTCAGTCCGACGCCTCTTCCCGTCAGCGCTGTCTGCTGTCGCAAACTACTTCCTCGTGCATTTCATGTGCATGAAATGCACGTGGCTAGTATTTTGTCACGTTTGTACAAGGCGACTGATATGACGCCACACAAGTTACTCGGGCTCGCGCGAGGCACCCCTCCCCCATGCCAAGACCTCGATTACTCATTAGATTACCCCGATTAGAAAAAATTCGAAGTGAATCGTGTATAGGAAGTTCACAAGGCGAACATCAGCAGAATTTCGGCAGAAGTTCTGCGAGAAATTCCTAGTGCACATAGCACTAAACGAACAACGAATACATACAATCCAGTAATTCAGGAACGTATAGTCGATGTTTTGTGACATATTCAGGGAAAATGAACTTTTGCCACATTGATTTGAAACACATTGAATAAAACTTAAAAAAATAAATGAATGTTCTATATTTTAAAAAAATATTGGTGTTCAAAAAGTTAATTAAATGATTACTAATAAATGTGTTTAGCATTGCAAATACAGAACATAGTTTTTCTTCGTATGTTTGGTCTAGGTTGGCATCAATCGCGCAAAGTATCAGCAATTGCTCTTGCAAAGGTGGCAAAGTACTCTGCAAACATGCAGCTGCAGTGTGTAATTTTGTAAATCTGGAAAATACTTGTTCAATGACTGATCAACCTATGATTTGGAATCGACTGCGGAAGTCGACCTGGAAGTCGAAATGACCTGTCTTATAAATGTGAAGATGTGAATATTACTTCTGCCAATCTTTTGGAAGATAAAATGTTAAGTAGTGTGGTAAACTTAGAGATCAATTGTATCAAAAATAGAGAAGAAAGGCTGAAAGGAAAGCGAAGGAAAAAATCAGAGAATTGTTAAAAGAATTGGGTGATCTTCAGATAGATGTAGATTTACATTTATTTAGTCAAAAAAAAGTAAAAACTGTATGGGACGTATCGGGGAGAAGATCATCTGCGCACGTTTTCTTGAGAACCAGAATCCCTTCCAATCATTTTAACTATAAGTAAATGAATGATGAGTAAATGTTTAAAATAAATGAATGAAAAATAAATTTTTAAAAAGCACGAAAATAACCAAATTTGAAAAGATTAGACATTTTCGTTCCCGAGTTATAGAAAATTGATTTGCATCGCTAAACGAATTCGCAAGTTTGGTTTTTCTTCGTTGCTAACAAAATAGTAGCTCGCCCTTGGCTCTACTGCTACCCTTAGAAGCAAAAGGAGAGTTCAACAAAACGTGCACATAGTGAAATTCGTCATGAAGTGCGTCATGATATTATAGACCTGCAAATTAAGTTAGTACAAAAATGTTTACAAGCGGAATGAATTTTTGTGCAATAGTGTCTGTGTGAGAAAAAACAATGGTTAGATATGTTTTAAATCACATGGTCAATCTCAATTGGTAACTTGGCATCAAGAGCGATATATTCGAATAGCTGCCAGTAGTTGGACTCACAGAATTAAAATGCGTACAAAAAATTTTGAGTACTTAGCTCAAAGATTTCTTTGTCGAGCTAAAACAATTGTTCACCATAAATATGCCCGATGAATTGGAAACGGAAAAAGAAGCTAGACTAAGCTTCCAGAGTTTTACAAATTTAATTGGGGAAGAAATGGGTCTCGTAATATCTTTGAAGCTGCCTTGGTTAAAAATGCCTGCAGTCATGATGGCATAGTACGCAGCGGTCAAGGATTCCAATTCTTAGAGATTAAGTGCCCTTCTTCTCGTAAAGATGGCGCAACAGTTAACAGGGAAGAAAAAATACATATTTCAGTTACACGCAGTGTACGCAAGTTATATAATGCTGAAAAATATATGTTATGCTTTCACGTCTCGAGCTTCCAATGAGATTATCGGAAGATAATTTTTGCATTTTTGATGCAAATGAAACTTTTTTATTGCAATTTTTTGTCATCGTTCCACTAAGTTCATGACGCCTAATTAAGAAATTAGCCTTCACATCATCGTTGCAAGTAGTGAGTATGTTGCAGCGAATAGTTTAGTACCTCTAATCCACAAGGCCTGGATTTCTAGCAGAAACATCGTCCAGGTACGGTATGCAGCAGAGAACATTGAGGATGAGTTGATAGTGAACCCCGTATCTGTTATTTAGTGTATATGCCTATTACGACTATAGGGATTAAAATATCACGAGTCTCTCGGCCATTAATCAATGTCCTCTGACCTTCAATGGAGTTTCGTGGCGCAACTAGCTCGCTTTCGAAACCGCTAGCCATTGCCTCGCAGCGAACACTGAGCAATATGCCGGAGGTCATCTGTTGAGAGGGTCTTTGATCCTGTGCGGATAGCATCCGGGGTAGTAGGGTGGGGGCGGTGGGGGTAAAGGTAGGGGCGGGAGAGTGCAGTGGTAGCCAGCGGGGAGACGGTTGAGCATGCAATGGGATTGGATTTGCATTGCAACGCATTTAAACTGTTACACAATTTACTTAGAAGTTTGAAAGAACAAAATTACATTTATTATACAGTTGGGTTTTTATTCTTTGTTAAGAAGTAGTAATAAGTATTTGGCTACATATTTTTAGTATTTACAGAATTTTTATGCATGCATATTCACATAAATTATTACCCATAAATTATACTTTTGTGGAGGTATGTATTAAAATTTGTTGTACGAATTCAATCGACTTTCCAATTTTGAATACAAATTTTCAAGATTTTTTACCCCTTAAAATAGATCTTAAGCGAGTGATAACTTGTTTTTCTTGCAAAGAGACTAATGGTCTAGTTTCGTAATACTATATTTCAACGACAGATCCAATTAACATTCTGATTTGAATTCTTAAATATTATCGAAATTTCATCCTCTTCGTTTCTTAATTTTCTTCAGGTGCAAAAATGTTTAAGTTGGCGTAACCTTAGTATTTCCGGGATGACAACACAACAGTAAGTACACTACAGTAATTTTTTCATACTTTGACAATTGAAAAATCTTCAACTATTGTCATATGAATGAAGTTGACATAACATACTCGGTATAAACGGGTAGATATTACAAACGCCGACATAAAAAGACTAAAGCTTTGACGAAAAAATTTAAAACTCAGTAAAAAGTGAAGTTTCAGTTTTTGTACGTTGAAAGTGTGCTGTTGTAATTTTTTAATTTATTCCAATTCATACATTAAATTTAACACTTTAATTAGACTGAATACAGTCGTTTTCATTTATGTGTACGTGCCTGTATACATGCAAATGTGCGTGTGGTCCTGTGAGTGCTCTCTTGTGTGTGTGTGTGTGTGTGTGTTTGTGCGTATGCGTGTGCGCGCGCACGAGAAAACGAGAGGGGGAAGTTGATATACAAACCAAAAATATTCAAGATTAGCTTCAATAGAGGAAAGACCTTATCGGTCAATTTACCTTTGAAAATACATTTTCGAAGAACACGGAAATGAGAAAATGAAGTGATGTGCTATTATTGCATGAATATTTGATTTTTGCATATTATGCATAATTCATTATCATTCTGT